CTACTTCCGTTCGAGTTACCCTCCTTTGTAATAGCCTTATAAAGAAAACTGTATTCGAGCTGCAGCAGGATCGCGAAGCGGTAAATGTATTCGGGTTGTTTTACCCTCCGTTTGCTCCAATTAAGAAATATTTCAGGTAAGTGTGTCTCTTGGAAACTAAAAGGGACCGAGACACACCGTCCTACATTCTATTTAAACATGCATCTCGTTGGAATTTAATATCGCATCGTGATAATTTTTAATTAATCTCGCTAATTAATCTCCGCGCTTCAGAGGAGCATACTTTTTCGTTTTATTGTTATCACAACAAAATAAGCGGAAGAATAACGCGGGATCGATTAGCGCGGTATTTTCTCCAGCGAAATTGATTATCGACAGGTTTAAGAACGCCAAGAGACGAGAGGGGGAAAAGAACTGCGTCGACTCCGAGACATGCATCCATCATAATCTGTTTCGCCGTACGCGTTGTTAATCACTCAGATCGATATGAGGCATCTGCGATCGGATGATCAACGTTCCGGGAAGACACCTCAATTAACGCCGATGCCCCGTTGCTTTTACGGACCCCTCCTCGTTGACAGCACGTATGCATTCCTAACACCGATCGCTCTACCTACAGTTTGAATTAATTAGAACGTGCCGGCATTAATGAAATCGCGTGAATTTTTCGCATAAACGCCCGCGTGCAATCAAATACTCATCTCCCAGACTTCTGACAAACACTATACAGGGTGTCCCTGAAAAAGTATTAAAGCCGAAGAGAGGTGAGCCTGTGAGTGTCTCTGAACAATAATTTTCTTTGCCAAAATGCATGGTTTTTAAATTATTAACGAAAAACACTGACCAATAAGAGCATGCGATTATTACATAAAATTAATTATAAATTGTACGTAAAATTATAATTAGACGCTGTTAACACGATTACAAGTATTAAGGGTGTCGTAGTGGATTTGATAAGGGTACAAAAATGTTTTAACTTGGATTGCGTTGAGTTGAGAAAGTTCTAAACAGATGGGCGCTCTGTGTGTTGTTTCAGCCGCGAACAATGTAAACGAGCCGCCGATCCTGGAACCCAGCGGATACCCGACGGGGTTGCCGTTATCCGAATCTACGAAAGTCGGCACGGAGGTGTTCGTCCTTAAGGGTCACGATCCCGAAGGGTCGCCGGTGAAATACGGGATACAGCTCACGGACCACTTCGTCGTGAATCCGCGGACCGGCGTCATCACCTTAGCGAAACCTCTGAATCGCGAGGTAAGTAGAAACAATATTAATAGCAAAAATTTGGATATAAATGACAACCAAATAAACCAAATATTAAAATATATTTCATGCATCATTATCATTTCTATTTTGAATTGTTTTCTAAATAAAATCCGCAGTCCACTAGTAGCTAACCAGTAGATAGATTGATAGAACTAAAAAAGCGTGTATAGGAATGTTGTATTTTAGTTAGAACGATGGATTGGTCTGCTTCACTTATTATTGAAAAGCAATTTGGAAAATCCGTCGGATAATCGATACAGACACGCGGAGATAAATGACGGCAATGAAAACGGCGTGGGAGGGCGGTTTAGTGACGTTCGTAATTTACGGTGTTTAGGCATAATCCTGTACGTATCCGTACCCTAGCCGGAAATCATAAATATTCTAACGTGATTCGCTGCAACGCGGCGTCGATCGATTGATTCCAATAGGATTATAGGAGCTTTCCCACGGATCAGAAGGGAAATCGATATCGACAGATTTTTTTTTATCCATCCTCCTGGGATTACTCGGTTTTATTAAGTTCTTGTTTTCCCTCATTCGGAAAAAGGGGAAGTTACAACTTGTTTATGATTTTTGCTTAACTAATGGTTAATAATCTGTTATTTAAGATTGCATGAGTCTTGAGATCTTTACTAAAATATTAAGAAATGTGATAGAAAACTGTGTTCAACATTTGAAGCCATGAAGTATTGGCAAAAATTATGTTATTTAACATTAGAATTTAAGATGTAATCACTTTTTGAATAGCTCTAAACTTGCCTATAACGTTTTATTAATGTAATATCTAAAAACTGTTAAAATTCCAGTGCTTTGTAATGTTTTTATTTAAGGTCTCATGCAGTCTTAACTGTTCCGAGTACAAGAATCGGTATCAAGTCAAGGGTCAGGTACATCTCGTAATACAAACGGTAGAGGATACCTTATTAACAGCAACTCCATTTTTAGCTTTGTAAGAAACACGACCTCGTCTCTAATGATAAATGCGATTCCTTTTGTATTCTTCCTTCCTCAAGATTCTCTTGTCGAAGAACCATTCTCTGTATTAAAGCGAAGCTTCGTACATTTACAGAAAAATCTAGCAGCTCTGTTATTTCTGACGGGAAAATCAAATTTCACTCAGTTTAAATATTTAAGAATATATTGGCTATACAGTCAATCCCAAAAATTTATGTATNCTAGCATTGTTCAAGTGTATAGTCTATACATCCTTAAATATTCCCTGGAATAAATCTCGAGTACGGTTAATTTGAGCGATAAAGTATATTTATTGATCTAATTTTTGAATACCAGCAGCCATTTGGAAAGTTATGATTAATTGAATATAGAATCAAATTAGACATCTTGTTCACTATTCTGGTGGCACGCTGTACGATTGCGCTTGTTTATTAATTCAAACACGGTCGATTCCAGTTAGAGTCGCAGGATTCGTATCATTACGTTACCGCACAGGAGACGTTCCCCCCGGTTGCAATTGATTAACATAAATGTTAGATACCTACGTACGCGAGTGCACACGGATGACATAAGTTTAGTACTCACCAAATATCCATTCGAGTACGTGTTCAATTTATTAACGGTAAGATCCAACCTGTTTTGTGTAATTGGCTGTGTGTACTCTACCAGTAGGTACTGTAATCTGTAATTAGAATGTGACTCACGTCGAAATGCAGTTTCGCGGTTACGTTTTCAATCCGGATATTCACAATACCGTAAAATGGGATCGTAAATTTAAGCGTAGCTAGGAATTTTAATACATTTACAACCCGTTTAGACGACGTGGTATTTTTACCAATCCAGTACTTTTATATTTGCAGATATTCATTAATTTTGTAATCCTGATGTGTGTTTAGAATAGAAAAACGTATGAACGCTGCTCCCGGATATATTCGGTAAAAATATCTACCCAATCGATCAAAATATCGCATCGACTGAACGGATCGTACCTCTTTGAGTAAACAGCAGATTTTCAACTCATTCAATAGCATGCATGTATGCACATCTATGTATGTACATTACTTTATTTCAAGTTCCTCTGAATGTGTAAAAGTTTGCGTTCATGGCGATCAGACTGAACGAATCGTTTCGAACGACTGGATTTGAAGATTGTTTATTGCAAAACCTTTTTCTTCGTTAAAGCACGAAATGTTTCAGACAAAAAATGTAGCTCTAGTTGCCAGATACGAGAAAGGTCCTATGCAATTTCCTTCCCATTCTATTCATTAAGGAATAATTGCCGAAGTAATTAACGAAGTAATTAATCGATCAGTCCTGAAGTATTCGAGATAGAAGAAAATTGTATACGACCTTTTTTCACAGATAGTAGCAGTACCTGTAACTTTTATTTAAAGCATTCTTCGAAATTTCAAGAAAAAATATCTTTTTTATTTTTCCGAGATTTTTCCATGAACTCGGCTCGAACTCTATTTTTAAGTAGCCCCCACAGATTTAGTCATTTGATCAAGTGTTTGTGAAACAAGCAAGGAAAACATAATCCGTGAAACAATGAGAGGGAAATTGTTCTATGAACGCGGATGGTGTTTGTTGTCCGAGCAAAGGAGGGATCCTTGCGCGAGCCACGTGATTAAACGGTGCTCTAATCAGGCAATTAAGTTCGGATGCTACGTTCTGTGGAGGGCGCATGTTACTTTGATGCGTAAAACCGACAGATACGGTGCCGTGAACGGTAATACCTCCGGCTATTACGCACATTCGTGAATTAGCACGGGGCACGCCCACTGCCGGGCAAACGTCCGAGCAATTTAGCTGGATTAAATCAATGCCGATCAGTCGGGGCGAGTAAACAGTACGAGTTTGTACACGGTTTCTATACGCGTAGCTACGAGCCAGCTCATTGGTTGCTAGCGATTTTTTTTATCAAGAGACAGAGCAACGCGAATTAACCGAAACATCCGAGTTCTTGCGTATCTACTATTTAGACTAGTCAGGTTTTATTGGAAAATCTCTGCCGGAATTGGAACAAACGTAGGCAATCTGAATGAAATTAGTTCACCTCGTAGTCAAACGTTTCCTTGAAATGGATAGTAATTTAGCTCAGCTATACTGAGCCTGTGGTCTGGGATACTTAGAGTCTTTTCACGTTACCTAGATTACTTCGTTGCTATCGATTTTTTATACTACTTGATTGTACACGTGATCAATCTCGAATCGTAGAAAATTAACATAATTCCAGTCGATGCTTTTATTCTAGCCTTATCGGCCTGAAAATAGGATTTGGTTTACATTTTTCTATTTTTATACTTATTCATTATTATTATTATTATTATTATTATTATTATTATTATTATTATTATTATTATTATTATTATTATTACTATTATAAGCATATAATCCGAAAAAAAAGAGTAAAATTGAATATGTTTATTCATCTCGTTACGTCGAAGCGAAGTATTAGAGATTCTACATTGAGATCTTCGTTGAGATAGAAACTCGAATTCGCGTTACCGTGAAACTGATAATTTTACAACGGCGGCAGTGGCGTCCTGTTTGCGAAGCGTTCGATCGTTAGAATTAGCCGCGGAGTCGATGAAACGGGCAAACCAATTAATTCGGAACGAAAAATTCGAGAGCCCTCGACAACGCCGATACAAAAACGATACCCTCGATGCGAAAACGATCAAGCGAACAGGAAAGCGTGGAGGGTGGCCGTTTTCTCTGTCCCTGATAAAAGGTTGAAACGAACGAGCCAACGGACCGCTACGCGACGCGAGGAGAAGAGAGATCGATAGGCGGATCGTTGGCTTCGTCGACCAGGGAAATAAATCACGGCCGTGACAAGAGGCTGACGGAGTCTACTGCAAAATCTATCTGCAAAGTGGCATTAAACATAAAAAAAAAACAAATTACAAACTATATTGTTCACTACGTGATTGAAACCAATCTATTTTATTTTTACAAAACATATAAAGTCAGAATGCTACTTATAATTAGTGGCGTGCTTCTTTACGTAGTACCTCGTTTTTCCTGAAATCATTTTTACAAAAAACGCTATTTTTCGTATATACAGGGTGTCCCAGAACTAGTGTTAGGCCTTGAAATGGGGTGAAGCCATGGTGATTTTAAACAACTTTTTCCTTTGCAAAAAAGTTGTCCGAGGCGTGGTAGTCGAGTTATTAACAAAAACTCTCGACGAATCAGAGCGCGAGTATACAAGGCGGGCAGGAGCGAGGTAACCGCCTCGTGCGTTGTCGCGCCCGTACGTCGCGCTCGTGACGGGAGCACAAGATGAAAGAAATGTTACATGCAAAAATGAANCCCTGTATACTCGCGCTCTGATTCGTCGAGAGTTTTTGTTAATAACTCGACTACCACGCCTCGGACAACTTTTTTGCAAAGGAAAAAGTTGTTTAAAATCACCATGGCTCCACCCCATTTCAAGGCCTAACACTAGTTCTGGGACACCCTGTATTTATGATAAGGCATGAGAGACTCTATAAGAAACACATAGTGGGTATTACTGCAATATAAAAAGTTTTGTGTCGTTGCGAATGCAGTAAAAGAGTGTCTGGAGCGAATGAATGAATGAATGAAAACCGATTTCTCATCACGCGACGGATAGATGTGACAAATGTGACTAATGTAATGTAGTGGGAAACGTGGAAAGAAAGTATTCTTCTTATTCTCGCCGGCCGAACAATTCAGCCGAGCATTTCGGCCATAAATTTCGCCGCGCTTATGCGGACCTGGCCCCGAATCCTTATAAATGAAAAAGAACGGGGAAAGAATATGGATTAACTTGATCATTTCGGTCACGTACCGATCGTAGCTCTCTCGACTTTTCAACTATTTAATTCCGGCACGAATACAAACGGCGGAGGAAGAGAAACAGAGGACGAAGATCAAGGGTCGTCACTCGAGGTTTGTCGAAGCTAATACGAAAGCATCGTATTTGCTCGTAAATCGAGAAACGGCTACGCGAATCGCATCCACTGTCCACACAGAGTACTACATTTGCAATGTTTACTTTA